ATTGTGCATCAAGAATAAAGTATTTTTAGTGCTCAAAAGCAGAATTATTTGTAATTCTGCAGACATTTTATGGACTGTCCGTAGTATAAGAGGATAGAATTATTTTTTAATCCTCAACCATAGAAAAGACATGCCAAAACTGTGATGTCTAGTAAAAGCACCTCTGAGAAGTGTCTTACAGAATCCTTTGCCAAAACTCAAGATATGTGCATTTTCAAGGGTGTAATGAGTAAATTAAAGATTTACAGAAAAAAAAAATCACAGAGCCCCCTGTGACTTTAAGGAATGCAAAGCAACTTGTTGCTTCCTATGGCTGGCACAAAAGAAACTTTTCTTATCAAGTTAACCTTTGGTCCTGATAAAGAATTCTGAGGACAGCTTTCCTCTAGTCTTCTTCTTTGGCAATCTCTCACAGTTAAGGATGACTGTCTTTCATGAATGTTTTATCTGTGGGTCTAACAGTGGCTGATCCAGGATCAACAGACTCCGTTTCAACTTGAACATGTGTTTCTGTGTGGGGCAGGTGGCTCCGGATTCTTGATTTGGTCCATGACACACTGCTTCTGCCACTCCCGCTTTTCCATTTCCTCTTGTCATTGTAAGGTTTCAAAGTACTGAGCTACTTGCAACAGGGTCTTCCTCCGTTTGGGGTGGTCCTGAGCAATATTCTCCCACAAGTTCATGTCAATGTTGCACTTTTTCCAAGCTGGCATCGAGGGCAACCTTGAAGCACTTTTTTTGCCCTCCCTCTTGAACGTATGCCTCTACTGAGCTGGGAGAATAAACCTTGCTTCAGGAGTCTGGAGTTGGACATCCAGATGACATGGCCAGCCCAGCAAAGTTTATGTCAGATGATCATCACTTTGATGCGTGTAGTGTTTGCTTGCAAGAGGACGCTAGTGTTGGTGTATCTACCTTCTCACTGGATTCAAAGGATTTTCTGCAGGTAGCATCGATGGTAGTTCTGCAGCAACTTGAGGTGTCTCCTATACGTTGTCCATGTCTCAGCTCTGTATGGTGAGGTGGGAATTACAACTGCTTGATAAACCATGAGCTTGGTTTCAGATCTGATGTCGCAATCTTCAAAACACCCGTTTCCTCAGGAGTCCAAAGGCTGCACCTACACATTCGAGGTGATGCTGGATTTCTTCAAATGTCAGCCTTCTACAAGAGATGGCTTCCAAGATATGGGAAAAATCAGTTCTTCAGAGGCTCACCATCAATTTGAATTAACAGAGAGCTGGGGAGTGCTCACCAAGAGCTTGTTGATAGGGGACCTTAGTCTTCTGAACGTTAAGCATCAGTCTCATTTTCTTGTATGCCTCAGTAAGGACACCAACTATTGCTGAAGGTCTGCTTCTGAGTAAGCACACACTACACCATCAGTGTACTGGAGTTCAATGATTGAGGTGAGGGTGGTCTTGGTTTTGACTCAGAGTCAGTTGAGGTTAAACAGCTTGCCATCCACTTGGTAGTTTAGCTCCACTGACTGGAAGATTGTTGGTGATTAGATGTAACATTATAGTAAAGAATATTGAGAAGAGTGTTTGAGCAATGACACAGCCTTGCTTAACTCCTGTCTTAACCACAAAAGGATCCGTAATAGATTTTTTTTTTTTTTTTTTT